AATATCACCAAAGCCACAACTGAAAAGTAATTCTCTAACACCTGTAACCCAGTTTCTTTTCCCATTATTATCATAAACTATCATCATATTATAACACTTTTTTGGCAATCCATATGAGGGCATGTCAATAAGTCTCAGCCAGTATTTAATAACTTTTATATTTGAATATACATAGAGAGGGAATCTTCCACATTCCCCATACACCACCAAGCTGGAAGTGTTTATTTTAACACCTAAATACTTTTTGCAAACATATAAATGAATCCTTTCTATGGCATCAAAGTGCTGTAAACCCCAGACTTCTGCCCCATACAACAAAATGGGGAGTATCTTTATATCAAATATTTAAAAAAAAGATTGATGAGAAATGGTTTCTAAAACTTTCAAACTCTTATGGATACTCACAAAGACCTTTCTTGCTTGTAAAGCAGCTTGATACAAATGTTTATGCCATGACAAGTTTCTACTGAAGTAAACACCCAGATATTTATAAAATCCTGTAGTTTCTATTTTTTGTCCTTTGAAGGACCAATATTCTTTACTTGCTAAATGACCTCCATTCTTAAATACCAAAACTTTTGTTTTACTCATGTTAACTGTTAGCTTCCATTTATTGCAGTAACTTTCAAGTTCATTAATTTGACACTGCAGTCCTTTGATTGTTGATGAAAAGAGAGCAATATCATCTGCAAATAAAAGTAAAAATATCTTTGTAATATCTGGATGGAGCTGAACACCATAATTACAGTTGGTATTTATTTGCACAGCCAGTTCATTTATGAAAAAAGTAAAGAGAAAGGGGCTTAAGATGCATCCTTGTCTTACTCCTAACTGACTAATAAATGTTTCTGAAATCTCATTATTGTTTCGCACACACACCTTAATATTCTCGTAAATGCTACCCAATAGTTTGTTCATCTTAAAGCTGAGGCCATGTGATCTTAAAAGGTTCCATAGTTTATGTCTCTGCACTGAGTCAAATGCCTTGGCAAAGTCAACGAAGAGCACATAAAGTTTCCCACCCTTGACACTGAGGTATTTGTTAACTAAAACTTGAAGGATAAAAATGTTGTCAATAGTTGAATAGCCCTCTCTAAATCCAGCTTGTTCTTCATTGATTTTGTCGAGGGTATCTGCCCAAAACACTAACCTTTTATTTATTATGTTTGTGAATAGTTTACCAAAAATACTTAGCAGTGAAATACCTGTGTAATTGTTTATATTATTTAGATCAACTTGTTTATGTATTGGCACAATTATCCCTATTGACCATGCATCTGGAAATGTTCCATTTTCTAATATAACATTAAATATAAGTTCAAGGTAAGGTACAATGATATCTGAGGAACGTTTAAAAAACTCGGGAATAATCTGATCCATTCCTGGTGATTTGTTGCATTTAAGATGGTGTATACTCTCTAAAATCTCATCTCTGGTAATAGGGGAATCCAGTATATCATTTGCAAACTGAGTATCTGTTTGAGTCTGAGTATTATCTTGTGACTCCTGGAACTGATTTTCAGGGCTCTGATCAGTATCTGTGAAAGTAAATAATTCTTTAAAGTAAATGTACCAATCCTTAATGTTGATATTATTTGTCTTTTGATGTTTGCTTAGACTTTTCAGTTCTGACCAAAATAGTTTAGAGTCATGAATGTTATTTTCTAAGGATTGTTGCTTATCATGTAAATATTCTTGTTTCTTTTCTTTGCACACAGCTATATATTTGTTTCTTATGTTATGATATTCTCTAAGTGAGTCCTTATCTTTACATCTCCTGAATTTATTTAGTGCCCTACATCTTTTCTTTTTAAGAAATTACACTGTAGTCAATTACACTGGTACCTTAACATCCTTATACCGGTCTCAAACAAGAGAGTCGAGGGTATAAGGATCTGTACCGAATAGAGTAAAGAAGTTTTCATCCACAAAGTATCTTGTCTTTGCTGATATTTATATTAACAATGTGCACGATCCAATTCTGTACCTACTCATGAGACTTGCTCTTTGAGCGTCAGATATATTGATGATCACCGACTTACCCACCCATTGAGGAGATCAGTAACCTCGCCTCATCTGTTTACTATTCAGAAGTATGCATATTGTTTCAGGGTGACACAAAACGTACCACAAGATTGTGTGACATGAGGGATGACTTCAACTTTCCCTTCATATCGTGTCATGCCGAGGGCCCCGGCTCGATGTCCCACGTGGTTAGAATGTGTGAAGCCCATTTCTGTTGTCCTTCGCCATGATATTGTTGGAATATTGCCCAAACCACACTCACTCACTCTCCCACTCCCTCCAAGTCGAGCAATATTCCAGCAGCTACAACCTTTGGTGATACATCAGAGATTTATGATTTCTGATTCTGGAAAAGGGTTTTGTAATCTTTATTTATTAATCGATATTTCAACTGCTGAATTTACATCCACATCCTTTACAAACTGTGGGTGGTCAGTGCATAATCTGATTAATACAACAGAGTAGGTACATAATGTCGTAGCGCATAATGCTGTTTCACGCATTAGGAAATCAATCAGTAAGACAAGATTGTTTGTGGGGGATTCATAGCTCCGAAACAAAGCTCATTACCCCTGAATCCCAGCCTAGGCCTGTCTCGGTTATCTCCTAAAACCCCTACATCCCATTTCCCCAACAACCCAGTTCCCCTACAATTAGTTAAAACAACACACGGCATTTACCTGTCTGGCATTATGAACTCACCTAAAGGAGAGATTAAGGTCTGGAGTAGAGGTAGTAGAAATGAAAGGGGCAGAGCTTTAGGGGATAAGGGGACTTAAAGGAAAGTTTGAAAAAAGAAGAATTAATGTAAGTGTAATGAAAGATGCCTGTATGATGAGAAGACAATTTTTAGAAATTACGAAAATAACAGTAGGAAGAAACAAGACGGTAATGATGACAAGATTCTGGCGTTTGGCAGTCTAGAGAGTCTAGAGGCCTTGCAGTCATCTGAGATTCTATACATGGATGGAACGTTCACTGCCTGCCCTGGACTGTGTCATGCATCCAGACAGACTTCAGCCAATGGCTGCTATTTGTGCTGTCAAAGTCGTGTTTCTTACTGCCGATGTGAAGGGATGTTTCTTCCATTACTGCCAGGCTATATGGAGGAAGGTCCAGGATCTGGGACTAGCTGTCGCGTATCGAGAAGATCCTGAAGTCTGCAAGTGGATAAGAAGAGCAGCTGGCCTACCCCTACTCCCCCAGAACAAGATCCAGGACACGTGGATTGACGTAATGGACAACACACCAGATGTACTAAGAGCTGTCGCCTTCAACGACTACATCGTCACTACCTGGGTCGACCACGGAGCACGATTCCCCCTACCACTGTGGAACCATCACGGTATTACAGGTCCCAGGACGAACAACAGCCTTGAAGGCTTTCACAACCGACTCAACCGAGGTCTCCCTCACCAACATCCCAACATCTACCGATTTGTGGAGGTAGTCAGGAAGGTGGAACAGGCAGAACGAGCTAAGTTTTTAGCAGCTCCAAGAGCCAGGAAGAGAGTGTACAGAGAGGTGGAGAACCGTCTCTGCCGCCTGAAGGACGAGTTGAATAGAGAGGTGAAATCCCCAATGCAGGTTTAAGATGCGGTTGGCCATCTCCTCAGGCTGGGATAAAGAGTGCACTGAACATTTGAGATGAAATTTATTATAATGTATTATGAATTTTGAAAAATGAACATTTTATTATAATGTATTATGAATTTTGAATAATATCGTAATCGTAATTAAATATTTATCTCAATCTATTCGTGTTTCTTGGGTTGTTCCACTGTATGAAATAGGTAACAGACTAGGGATTAGCAGTGCCATGGACCGTGAACTTTGTTGTCTTAAGCTGTAGGGGAAATGGGATGTAGGGGTTTGGGGAGGTTACCCCTGTCTCGGAAGCTTCAGTACTGCTGAGTAAATATATACTATTATCACAGCCTGTTGCTATCAACACTGTATGTTTGTATTTGACACTGCCCACTGCCATCATGTTATATACTGCCATTGAATATTCTACTACCACTCTATTGTTTACTGTCACTGTAATGCTGTACTACCACTCTATTGTTTACTGTCACTGTAATTGCTGTGCAGTAATTTGTATTGATTTGCAAACTTAGTGAATTTTGTGATACATTTGTTTATTGTATATCACTGATGGTTTCACACTGATTTCTTTTACAAACAGATTTCTGGATTGACATATTGTTTCAATTTCGACATTTAACAACTGTCATCTGTATAGTGCGGCGTTAAACAACATTAAAAAGCTGCCTGCCTGGTATAACGTAGGTGTACGCGTGATGATGGAACATGTAGATATTACAGCCTTCACGGACCTAACGCTCATGGTAATCGATTTTGTCACGTGAAAGTTGGCTGTCAAATCATCAGTTGGCACCACCTGTCAAAGTGTTTTAGTAATCCGCGGGTAATAGGTACGCTCTCTTTCCAGTATAATGTTGAAGCACACACACAGATACTGTTGACACAGGGGTTTTTCACGAAATACATAACATTTATCACAAACATGATTCACGGTGGTATATCAGTCCTTTTGCAATTTGCCATCCCCTGGTATCGATATGTAACGTGAAGTGTATGCGAGTATGTATGGCGTTGTATATAACACGAATAATTCACTAGGGTTCCAGTAATGTAATAACTTACTCAATTCATGATTCCTGGATATATGAAGACCCGTGTCAATATCTCATTAGTTTGTTTTTTTCTAAACCAATAGATGAAAATATAACCTAATGATTAATATGTACGTTTGTGTTTGTGTGTACCTAATATGTGACCGTCATGCTTGTATCTGTACGTCCTCACTAACTGCCCGTCAATATGCTTGCCAATGGAGAAACGATATGTATGTATTGAATCGAGCATCGTATATGTAGGTTCTGTTATCAATAGCTACTTGGAATCGGAGAGAACCACTGGAGCTTGTGCCATATCGTGTTTTCTCTGTATCATATGTTGTGCTGCTGACGTGACAGCCGTGCCAGGGCGGGCGTCCTCTTCGAGGTCCCCCCTGCCACGATTAGACCCTGCTGCTTTCCTCTTTGTGGTGGCATCTGAAGGGGCATCCTCTTCGAGGTCCCCCCTGCCACGATTAGACCCTGCTGCTTTCCTCTTTGTGGTGGCATCTGAAGGGGCATCCTCTTCGAGGTCCCCCCTGCCACGATTAGACCCTGCTGCTTTCCTCTTTGTGGTGGCATCTGAAGGGGCATCCTCTTCGAGGTCCCCCCTGCCACGATTAGACCCTGCTGCTTTCCTCTTTGTGGTGGCATCTGAAGGGGCATCCTCTTCATGGTCCCCCCTGCCACGATTAGACCCTGCTGCTTTCCTCTTTGTGGTGGCATCTGAAGGGGCATCCTCCCCTAGTATTGCGACCAGAAGTAGTTTCACAGCAAATGAATGCGAAATACGTCATATTATATACTGCCATTGAATGCTGTACAACCACTCTATTGTGTACTGCCATTGTAATTGCTGTGCAGTAATTTGTATTGATTTGCAAACTTAGTGAATTTTGTGATACATTTGTTTATTGTATATCACTGATGGTTTCACACTGATTTCTTTTACAAACAGATTTCTGGATTGACATATTGTTTCAATTTCGACATTTAACAACTGTCATCTGTATAGTGCGGCGTTAAACAACATTAAAAAGCTGCCTGCCTGGTATAACGTAGGTGTACGCGTGATGATGGAACATGTAGATATTACAGCCTTCACGGACCTAACGCTCATGGTAATCGATTTTGTCACGTGAAAGTTGGCTGTCAAATCATCAGTTGGCACCACCTGTCAAAGTGTTTTAGTAATCCGCGGGTAATAGGTACGCTCTCTTTCCAGTATAATGTTGAAGCACACACACAGATACTGTTGACACAGGGGTTTTTCACGAAATACATAACATTTATCACAAACATGATTCACGGTGGTATATCAGTCCTTTTGCAATTTGCCATCCCCTGGTATCGATATGTAACGTGAAGTGTATGCGAGTATGTATGGCGTTGTATATAACACGAATAATTCACTAGGGTTCCAGTAATGTAATAACTTACTCAATTCATGATTCCTGGATATATGAAGACCCGTGTCAATATCTCATTAGTTTGTTTTTTTCTAAACCAATAGATGAAAATATAACCTAATGATTAATATGTACGTTTGTGTTTGTGTGTACCTAATATGTGACCGTCATGCTTGTATCTGTACGTCCTCACTAACTGCCCGTCAATATGCTTGCCAATGGAGAAACGATATGTATGTATTGAATCGAGCATCGTATATGTAGGTTCTGTTATCAATAGCTACTTGGAATCGGAGAGAACCACTGGAGCTTGTGCCATATCGTGTTTTCTCTGTATCATATGTTGTGCTGCTGACGTGACAGCCGTGCCAGGGCGGGCGTCCTCTTCGAGGTCCCCCCTGCCACGATTAGACCCTGCTGCTTTCCTCTTTGTGGTGGCATCTGAAGGGGCATCCTCTTCGAGGTCCCCCCTGCCACGATTAGACCCTGCTGCTTTCCTCTTTGTGGTGGCATCTGAAGGGGCATCCTCTTCGAGGTCCCCCCTGCCACGATTAGACCCTGCTGCTTTCCTCTTTGTGGTGGCATCTGAAGGGGCATCCTCTTCGAGGTCCCCCCTGCCACGATTAGACCCTGCTGCTTTCCTCTTTGTGGTGGCATCTGAAGGGGCATCCTCTTCATGGTCCCCCCTGCCACGATTAGACCCTGCTGCTTTCCTCTTTGTGGTGGCATCTGAAGGGGCATCCTCTTCGAGGTCCCCCCTGCCACGATTAGACCCTGCTGCTTTCCTCTTTGTGGTGGCATCTGAAGGGGCATCCTCTTCGAGGTCCCCCCTGCCACGATTAGACCCTGCTGCTTTCCTCTTTGTGGTGGCATCTGAAGGGGCATCCTCCCCTGGTATTGTACTCACATCTTCCTGGGTGTTAAGCTCTTGTTCTGCAAGTACTTGATCACTGCAAGTTACTCGAGTGTGTCAACTTCCTCAAGTTTGTCAAGTTTGTTATAGATGCTTTTTTTAATTTACTGACTTGACTCAGCGAATCAGTTTGCTCATTTGACTCACATTTACATGCACTTGGGAAGCTTGGATGTGTACCAATAACACCCCGAATTGCTAAATGTGTGATGATACGTGCGATGGCATAGTCCAACACCCATAACTATATTGTAAAGCCTCAGCTAAACTGAGGAACCCCTTTATGAACATATATTCGACATTCCCTATTGTATACGTGAGCCCTGGTTGAATGGCTGAGCCCTGGTGTTATCCCTATCAAGAGCAATACGCTCCTGGAATCTAAGATCTCGATCTATCTATGGATAATACAACGAGTCTTACCACTGTATGTTTGTTGTTTAACGCCGCACTCAGCAATAGTCCAGCTATAGAGAGGCGGTCTGTAAATGATCGCGTCTGGACCAGACAGTCCAGTGATTAACATCATGAGCATCGATTCAATGACATGCATCAACCAAGTCAGTGTGCCTGATCAGCCGATCCCGTTAGTCGCCTCTTACGACGAGCATAGTCGCCTGTTCTTACGTTCATAGTGATGTACAACGCTATAACTGTACACAGACAACATCCTCCTCCTCACAGTCGACCAGAAGTAGTTTCACAGCAAATGAATACGAAATACGTCATCCGAGGAATGTGAGAAATATATCAATATCTATCTTATACAACAGCAATGTCACAGTATGTCACAACTGGTCATTTTGACAGCATGTAACAATAATAGGTGTTGGAGAAACCGCGTTGGAGCATTCACCATTTTTGACAATGTCGTTATCGAGTGGGCCCCTGGTGTGTATTGGTTAGCATAAGTACCCAGCAACCTCTGCCGGAAGATGAATTGGGTGTGGGCTCGGTATCTTGGTTGATCATTGCAACCTAACGACGTGGAACTTATATCATGATATAGATTACGTCACATTTTTCCTTATATAGAAAATATATTTAGACATCTTCAAACCATCGACAACGGGCATGGTGTTCAGAAACGGTGAAACATAATCATATCCACATTCAAACTCACAGCGAAATGAGGAGCCTTAGACGAGTGGGTCCCGCGTGCTCATATTGGTGTAGAATGGGAACGTAATCGACAGTACAATTAACGCGGATGAGAAGGAGCATTCTGATTTCCTCACGATGTTGCTCGCTCCAAGGCTCACTATGGGGTCACAAGTCAGATTACATGACGGCTCTCTTAGGTAAAAATTATCTGAGGCGATAGCTCGATTATAACTGATATCACGGTGCCAATGTTTATGGTCATTTCATTTGTTGCCTACAAGCTAAAGAACTTATTTCAAAACATAAACAAGTGTTCAGAAAAATGATGAACTTATGGCAAAAGCCGGTAGTGACCACCGTTATATTATGTTACAAGTTCTTTCTGTGTCTGCATGCGTATTAGTCAGTTGGCAACCAGCGGAAAAGAGGCTTAGTTCAAATTTTCGTTCCCACATTTTCCTGTATACCTTAAACCTTTTCTATTGCATAAAGGAGGTATCTGTACACAATGTTCATTGGGGAGTAAGCTTGCAAGTGTGTGCGTGAGTTTTCAGGGGGTCAAAATTGCATAACTTGAAGGAAAAATGCATAATTTGACAAAATTGGCTGTAACATTTTTATTAAGTCATTAAACTATCCAAATTATGTTTTTGATTACAGGTAATGTGTTCGGTTATCTGAATTTGGCAAACATTTTGTTTCATTTAACTGTTATTCTCATTCTCAGTGGAAACATTGATTAACAGTTAACAGTTAAATGAAACCAAATGTTTGCCAAATTCAGATAACCGAACACCAAAATACAAGCATACACTTGCAAGCCTACTACCCAATGAACATTGTGTACAGATACCTCCTTTATGCAATAGAAAAGGTTTAAGGTATACAGGAAAATGTGGGAACGAAAATCTTGTTTTCCCCCCTGGCCAACTGACTATTTATGGTTACATAAATATGTTTGCTTCAGTCAGGGTTGCTCAGATTAGTATGTCTATGCCATTCTGTTTTTGTTAAGATCAATCCAAGACTGACAATAACAGATGTTAAAGTGTAACAGTGCTGCATTTCTATTTGTAAACAGTAGTTCATCTTTCTTTCACCTTTTCAGAATGCTTTTCTCTGTAGAAGGTGACTGTCACAACAGGGAGTAATACCAAAGCCAGATAAGAACTAATAATCAATTTGCGAGCCAGCATCTTTCATTCACCTTTTCAGAATGCTTTTCTCAGGTTTCTCAGGTGACTGTCACAACAGGGAGTAATACCAAAGCCAGATATGAACTAATAATCAACTTATTTACCCTTGCTAGACCGCCTCCGTGGGCAAGTGGTAGAGCACCTGTACTGAGACCGGAAGGTCAGGGTTTGATACCCAACCGCGTCATACCAAAAGACATTAAAAGATGGTACTTGTTGTTACTCTGTCTTGCGCTTGGCGTTAAAGGGCTAAAACAAGGACTGTCGGCTCGGAGTCAGTATACAGTGTCTGAGTGGGGTATGCATGTTAAACTGCGGCATGGTATCTCAGTGGGCTAGCACTATAAAATCGGACTAGTATAAGAGCGCGCGCGCACGCACGCTCGCACGCACGAACGCACATGCACAAATACACACATACACACACACACACACACACACACACACACACACACACACACACACACACACACACACACACACACACACACACGCGTCGCTATATGAGTGCAATAATCTTGGACGCGACGTTAAACCCCACCTCAACTCACCAATTTACTAACAAAATATTCACTCACACTAACTGACTTCAGCCCACTGTTACTCTGCCACACATATCATACACACGCATACGTTCACTTACTAACCAATCACTTCGCTCCTTCCCCTCAACCCTGTCCCCACTGATACATGTTGATACTAAAACCACACCAAATCATAATGTAAATCATCAATCAATACAGCAATGCATATTACATCAGGTATCAGGTTGGTGATGCAGTCTAGCATACACCACACACAGTGTGTTATAGAACATCACTGTCACCCTCAAGGTGAATCCAGCCACTGCGGTAATGCTATACTGTTTCCACAGATGTAACTCCAACTCTCACAGTAAACGTCTCACATCGGCTCTATCTTTCTCTCATCCCTATAAAATACTGTTTTGGCTAAATTTCGCGTTCTCGCGATCTCTCATTCTCGCACTTTGGGCATATTTAGCTCGTTTCCTAAGATAGAGATGGCAAGAATGCGAGATCGCGAGAATGTCCCTTACAGTATTCCATACATCACAGGCGTTTGCCGGGTCTCGGTCGTCATCACTTCCTCGCTTTC